CCTGTGTCTAAACGTACATGCAAGCATACACATACATGCTTTCTTCTATTTTTCCATCCTCTCTTAACCCCCAGTTTCCATGTTTTAACACCTGAAACTCACCAGTGCTACTTTAATAACAAAAGGCCTCCATAAACAGAGCTCCCTTTTATTACAGTGATACCTTTTGTTGCCTACATTGACTACAATTCTGTACTAAGCTCCTTTGGATGCAAACAGTTTTTCATTTCTCTCCTCAATCAACCTTCTTGATTCTAACTAAGGCAGAGGAAAAAAAAAAAAAAAAAAAAAGAAGAAGAAAAAAAAAAAACAACCAACCAACCCACACTGATTCATGCATTAATTCAGGGACCTATCTTGCAAATGTTCACATGAGTAATCCTTCCTTGGATGAATAATCCCTCTGACCACAGCAGACTGATTAACAACAATGCAGATTAAGGTTTTCAGGATTGGGTCCGCTCCCTGATCCCTGGGTTCTCACCCGAAGTTTAGCAGATGATGGTCCCTCTCCTTTTGTTAGATGTATTAGAGGCACACATGCAGCTCTCAATTATTCTATTTGATTACATAGCTAATAGGCCCTGATCCTGTCAGCGCTCCCTAGAAAGCCTAACAAGCTGAAGTAAACAAACCCAGCTGAATTAGAAGACTTGGCAGGATTGGGGCCTTTAATAGCAGCTGAGAGCTGTATCTTTGAGTTGTGATCAGAACGTGTATCTTTGCTATTAATGGTCTCGTGTTTCATTTGGAAAAATCTCGCAGCAAATCCAGGAGTATGTGGGCTGATTTAGCTACCTACGTCTAAAGAAGGGTAAGTTACTATGTAAAAACTAAATTCATGCTTAATGATTATTTATTTGGAACAAAACAGTCCCGAAATTCATTTTGTATTATTCAGCAAATGGTAGTTGTGTGTGCTATGGGTCCCGGGTTTTGAAGTTGAGGAGAAGAATCCCCCTCCAGCAACCTTTCGGCCTATTCCTGCCTTTCTTCTTTACTTGCTCGTTTCCCAGAGAATGAAGATATTCAGGACTCATGTATCGCCATGCCCCCCTTCCCTGCACCAAACGGTGTTCATTAAAAACTTGCTGCTAGCAAGGGCCTGATCCAGCCCTCCTGGAAGTCATTGGAAAGCTGTCTATTGACGTCATGGGGACGAGGAGCATACTAATGCATGCAAGTACCTTTACTAATGCGGGCAGTCCTGTTAACAACACCGAAGTTGTTCACGGGATTAACAGCAATCAATCAAGCCCTTTGAAAGGCACATTAAAAGCCAAAGCCTGGTGCTGCAAACCCTTTCTCGCAGGAGGTGTGTGCGTACCTGTGGCGGGTCCCGCTGCATCTCTCTGCTCCAGCCCGAGCAGTCTCAGTGCATTTTTTTCTAGCTGTGCTGATTCGGGGTAGTGTTTTTTCTGAGGAGGTAAGAATTGTTGGTGATCTACTCCAAGAGATAGTGTCTGCGTTCCCAAAAAGACCCCACTAAACACAGTGAGGAGTAGGAGCAAATGAGGCTGTAAACGGGCTTGGGAGGGGGCTGTTTTTATTCCTGCAAGTAGGCACATAAGGGGCGGGGGGGAGGGAGGGGGGTTGTGTGGAAAATTTAAAGTCCTTTATTTTGGTTCTAAGCAGATAAATAATTTTTACTCTCTGGGAGAAACTGGAGCTTGTTACAAAAGACCTTATTCTTATAAAATTCCTGTGGCCTCTGCTGCTTATGGATTGCTGAACTGGACCCACTGTGATTACACTGGGAACATTTCTCACTTGGGAACTGTTCGGCAAAGGCTGGTTTATAGATAATAATTTCACTCCTCCTTTGCCTGTATCTGTTGAAAATCCAGTACAGCCCCTTGTACATATGTAAAGGTGCTTATGGGGTATAGCTTATTTCCATCCACAGCAGCAGCTGTGTTCATCTCGGAGCCCTTGTAGCAATATTTGTGTCCGTATTATTTCATCCTGCCACCCCTCACAGCTGTGCCTGTGCACCAGGGGGCTGTACTTGAACAGCATCCATTTCTAAATGACTATACTTATGGCTCTGTGAAAACGGGGCGTGGACCAGCTCAAAGTTTTAAAAAATGTATATTGTTATAAAAGGGACACTCTTGCTGAGCAACAAAACGACTCTTTTCACTGCACTGTTCTTTTAATTGGCTTTCATTTGGGATAAGCCGTGACTGCAGGCAGAGTGGCCTGCTCATGGACAAGGTGTTAACAGAGCAATCCCTGGGATGGATCAGTGCCGGATACTGTTTCACTTTTCACTATAGTGGATATTCCTTCTTTAAAAAAGATTTGACTAGTCTTCTTTCAAGTGAGCCATCCTAGCTCTATCACAGATGTGGTTTTAAGGTTCAGAAAGAGTGGATATTAAGATTTTTAATGTCCGGGTTCAGGGTGGTGGTGGGGGTACTGGAAGATTTTGTTTCATGCGGGTTTTGTTGTTGTTGTCATTCTTTAATCACAGTCCAAGGCGCAAGACAGGATTTGAAAGCACTGAGCCACGGAGCTGGAAATTTGGGAGAGGGGCTGCGTGCAGGTTTTACCCACCCGCAGCTCCTGGGCTGTCGGATCTCTGCGTCTTTAGCCTTTCAACGTTGAAAGTGTGTGCCCGGGAAGGGAAGACAGACAGATCCCCTCCTTAGACCCCAATAAATAGCACGCCTGGTCAGGCGGCAGACAATGCGCGGTGCCTGCCACCAGCCCGGCATTAGGCGCCTGACAGCAGCTGCCTCCCCATTAGCGGCGG